AAAGCATAAGCTTCTAAAACCTTCCCCGTCTTACAAAGCCCGCATATGAGCAAAGTATAACAATGAGAAGGAACTTGAAATCCCTTATCCTCCATCTCATGGTAAAGACTCAAACAACAATCAACATCCCCTTCAGAATAACAAGCCTGCATTATTGTCATATAAGTAACAACATCAGGCTCCAAATTAATTACCTCCATTTTGCGAACCATCTCGGTCGCCTTTCGTGTTTTCCCAATCTTACAATACCCTTTGATCAAAGTATTGTAGGTTACAACATCAGGCTTTATTCTTCCTTCTTTCATGGCGACAAAAACACGCTCGGTCGATTCGATAAAAGAGGAACCAACGAGTCCGTTAAGAAGGGAGTTGTAAGTGAAAAGAGTCGGGTGGATGTTTTGTTCATTCATTCCACGCCAAACTAATAGAAGTTCATTGACCAGGCCGGCGTTACCGAAGCTTTTGATGAGGGAGTTGGCGGATGGGGATGTTAAGGGGAGGCGGCTACGTTGAAGTTCTGCAAAAACATTTAATGCGGCGGAGGTGGTGGTGGTTGAGGGGGATAGGAGTAGGTTGATTAGTGAAACGTAGCAATCGAGGGAATGTGAGTAGTTACGTTGGTGGGAAGCCCAGGTGAAGAAACGGAGGGCGGTGTGGTGGTTGTTGAGGGAACGGAGAGCGTGGGCGACGAAGGAGGGGGAGAGAGTGATGAGAAATTGGCGGCAGAAGGAGTCGAGATTTGATTCCATGGTTGGGGAATTGTCGAGGAGGTTGAGGATTTGTGTGAACCATGGAGAGGGCTGGAGGTTTTGTTTGGAGGAGATGACGTCGGAGAGGTCGCAGAAAGGTTCGACGAGTTCTGGGGGAGGGAGAGGTAGGGTTTTGAAGGAGCGGGAGAATGAATTGGCATTGTGGTGGTGCGGGGGAAAGGAGAAGTGGATGTGTGTGATTGAAGGAGAAGGTTGTTTCAGTAGCAGACAGGAGATTCTTCTCATCACTCCTCCGGGTTTGGTTGATTTTCGAATGAGAATAACCGTTTCCCCTGATTCTGCCACTTTATTATATCATTTCCCCCTCTAATACCTCCATTGTCTTTCATATTATTTCTAGGCTAAATAATCATTTTGCTGGGAATTCTAAAAAATCCTTAAGATAATCAAGAAACAAAACAGGATAAATTATATTTTAATTTTAAACTTTTTTAAAGGTTTTGGGTGCGACGGTTGTTTTACCGTCGTGAAATGAATTTTAGGACGGATAATTTTACCGTCGTGAAAGGTTTAAGGGTGCGACGGGTGCTTTACCGTCGTGATATGCCTTTTAGGACGGTTAATTTTACCGTCGTGACTAGTTGTTGGTGAAAAATCAATGTTAAAAGTGTTAAATGAGGGCCGACGGTTGTTTTACCGTCGTAATAATAATATTATGATGGTTAAATATACCGTCGCAAAATAAATATTAGGGACGGTTGGTGTCAACTGTCGTAAACACTGTCTCTATATGTCAATTACGACAGTTATCACATAACTGTCGCAATTTTTGTGTCGTTAAACACTAATTTTCTTGTAGTGTATTTAGAAAGTGAATATTCTTCTTGATTCTCCTTGATTCTTCCAGTCCTTTAAATCAGCGCCACATTGGACTTGTATAATATTCCCAGAATGTTCAGCATCTGTTAAATCATAACAGAATCTAACTGTCCAGCTAAGCTCAGGCGCAATGTCGTATGATACTGCATAGGACATCTTATCTGACATGTTGATCCAGATGTTGAAATATTTCAACTCAACATGTTCTTCATAAAATAGGACTTCTTGCTCCACATGTTCTTCACAACAAGTAATCACATCCTATTTAACATATTGTTGTTTTATTTATTTTACTAAAATTAGTGTCAATCCTTAAAATAGATAACTAACGATCTTCAACCTCGACCCTATGCATACAAATAAACTACACATAATTATTCATAGTTTGGGTGCCATATAGACTCGGTTGATAACGTTCAATTTAAGTTAGTTGTAACCTAAGATTGGATTGAGAATCAAGGGGGTGTCATCGGAAAAACCATGAGAATTTTTACCTCAAGATCAAGTGGTGATTTAAGGGTTTTGGACAAGATTATTGAATTATTGGATTCGACCTAGTGAAGACCTTGAAGAACGGGTAGTTCTTACAAGCCTAGTAGTGTGAGACGGTGAATCATTTGGTAATCTTGGTGAACTTTCTGAACACATCCTTGTGTCGTTCTCACTCTCTCTCTCTCTCTCTCTCTCTCTCTCTCTCTCTCTCTCTCTCTCTCTTTCTCTGTATCTCTTTTATATTTTCATTAGCAATTTATTAAACGTTTGATTGTGCAAATTGATTAGAATAGAAAGATCATTTTATTATTTAATTACTTTGTTGATAATCTTACAATCCATTTGATTGTAAGACTTTTTAATACCAACAAAGTTCAAAGGAAATTCTAGAAAATCAAAATGCACACTAAGTGTTCGATAAATTGTCTCAATAAGTTTTATCTTTAATTTAATTGGAAATTGGTTACTTAATTGTTGTAATCAAACTATTGATTAATATTTTGCTATTTTACTTGCTTATCATCATTACTCATTTAAAATTGATTGAACGCATATCCGAGCTCCAATAATTGATTCATTTTGGAAGACTTTCAATCTAGGACATGATTTATGCTATCCATTGTTTTTACTTATTTTGAAAACAATTTTTAAACTTAATTTTTAATTGGAGATCTATTCACCCCCTCTAGATAAGTTATCGTCGTCTCGCAGAAATCATCTTGAACAATGATTTTGTTGCCATTATCTTTACCTCCATGATCATTCAGACATTCAGGGCACAACTTTCTTGTATGACCCTCCTTCTTACAGTTATAACATCGAATACCAGATGACTCACCACTATAAGACTTCTGCTGACTTTTACCCTTCTTTTTGTCGAGCTTGCCATCTTTCTTTGTGAATTTCTCCTTAATCGATAGACCTTCACCAGTCGTAGATGGCTTATTCTCATTTCGTTCATTCAAATCCTTAGAGTACAAGGCTGATTGAACTTCTTCAAAGGTCAACGACTCTCTTCCATACAAGAGAGTTTATTTTGAAGTGAGCATGTGTTATGGGCAAAGCACACAACAATAACAACACTTGATCTTCATCCTCGATTTAACATTGATATTTTCAAAATCAAGAATCAATTTGTTGAACATATCCAATTTCTCATATAGGACTTGGCCTTCACTCATCTTGAATGAATACAAAGCTTGCTTCAGGTAGAGGCGATTGACCAACGATTTGGTTATGTACAAATATTTGAGTTTCTTACATAGACCTGACGTCGTCGTCTCCTTCGAAACTCGTCGAAGAACTTTATAATCAAGGCTCAATAAGATGGCGTTTTTGGATTTCTCTAAGATAATTGTTTTTTCTTTATCCTTTAACGCAACGTCCATGGATGCGGCTCCCTTCAACGCTTCTTAACAACCCTCATAAATCAGTAGGGCTTTCATCTTCAAGTGCTAGAGACCGAAATCGTTCACTCTGGTGAAATTTTCAATCTCATACTTTGTTGACGACATCTTCTCCACGCTTATCGCACCAATTTGTCTTGAAAAATGATGTTGGAATAACAAAGTATAACTGATTTCTTAATCGACAAGAAATCCACAAGGATAGAAAAGAAGAAAATAATAAGAACAAAATGAAATTGGTTATAAACTTCTATTTTTTACTTTCTTATTGAAACAAGATTATAAGTGCTACAGAATAACAAATAGCCTCACTCACCTTAATTAGGATTTGCAGTGTTCAATTATGAGAGACTAATATGCTATTTATAAGAAAACTAACATACTAAACTAATGAACTTATACACACATGCCCATTACACAAGCTAACTTAGGGAACAAACTAACTTAAATAATTGAATTTTTATAAACAAGCTCATTCGACATGTTAACAATCCTAGCAAATATCGACTAATGCATGTTAGACCAACTTTGACTACAACACACACTATTTCGACATCAGCATACGAACAAGCTTCGACCTCATGTTTAATTCTTGTCGGACTAGAAGCTACCCCTTTGACCATACTAGAGCATAATCCAATATCTCACACCATTTATATAAAAGTGAGTTGAACAATAAATTTTTAGGGTAAAAATCACTCAGAATCAATTCTAGAGATACAAGCTATAAATTCTAGATTCAAATAGAATCAATTCTTAAGGCAGAATCAATTCTACTTTTATTAAACCAAACACCTTAGAATTACACAAAATCAATTTTGCATCTCGAGAATTGATCCATGTCTTTCAAAAATAGAAATAAATCATTCTATAATCAACTCTACACCTCTAAATTTATTTTTTACTCTTCCAAAATTCAAACGAAACCTACATTAATTTAACCAAAAGAATGTATCTTTCAATCGAGAACCACTCACTCCCCAACTTACCAACAGCTACATCTACCACATAAACTCTATTAAATTCTCTTTCAATTACAACCGCAACCAACCCATATTTATAGATAGAATTTTAAATCATAAATCATCTTATTCTATCTTAGACTCCCAGCAGAATTTACCTCAATAAAGTCAAATTAAATAACTGAATATTACGAACTGCCACATACTAATTTATTCAAATTTATCATAAGTGTTTAGGAAAAAAAAAAAGAATAATACTCAATTGTCCATTAAGTAGAAATCATGTTAGAGAAACAGTTAAATAAAGATGAAAAACTTACCAAATGAAGCAAAATGGTTCATAATTCAGACTGTGCACTGAACTTAAGTAAAAGTAGATTAGCTTTTCTTACTTTTAATTTACTAGCTACCATAAATTTCTAAATAAACAAGGTTATTTTGAGTAAACTTCAATCAAAATAATACAAAGAAAAAAATAAACAAAGGTCAAATACAAAATATTTATAAATGAAAAAAAATACAAAAAATTGATAAGAATTTACTTATATTAATTAATTGTGAAGATGATCTGGGCAACTTGGAACTTTTCTTTTGATATCATCAAACTCTATTTTGGTTCTGTTCTTGTACAAAAAAGTGCTACCTTTGAAGTATTTATTGAACAGATCTTTGTTGTTGATGTTGTTCTGCATAACTCTTCTGTTGAATTCCACTTTTGCCACAGTCTTTTCTGAGAATATACGAATAGCTCCAACATGACATGAATGGCAACACAACAACGTTGTTACCAAAAACATCATCATATAGAAATACAAGAAATCTTGGTCCCTTTTCCTCTCATATCCAAACCACATGTCTACACAATAATAGTACACATAAATTTTGTCTTTTGGTAACCCAAAATTTGAGAGTTTGGGTTTGTGTATGAATGAGATGATGAGAGTGAAAAAAAAAACAAAAAGCAATGAGTCAATTGACGGCTAAGTAGTTTATGAAAGGGAGATGGAGCATCATGTTATGACCATGCCATACACACACTGGCCCACGTGAAATGAAACCCTGCAGTCTTGTATCTACTAATACTAAATTATATTATTGGTTTGCCACATGATGTTCCCTATTCATTAGCCACATACTCTTCAAATATATCAAAACTTTGACTAATTTTTACTTACAATTCAGACCAGAATAGTGTTGTTGATTTTAAATAAGTTATATGCATTTATTTAATATATGCATATTAAAAAACGAATTGATTCAAAATTTAATTTTTTTTATAAATAAAGAGATTATATTAAAGCGAGTATAAGAGATACTCAATTTAAATTCAATAAAAACAAAGCAAAGAAAGAAGAGAAAACAACCAAAAATCTAAAGAGTTAAAGATGTGCAATTGATGAAAAGACTCAATAAACAAAAGTAAATGAAACCAAAGTTTAGAAGACAAGTAACAAAACTGTATTGGGGTTCTCCCTCTGAATGTATTAGGGACATGCAATTTCAATCTCCTCTTTTTGATGTTTGGCAAGCTTTCAATTGGAAATGAGTCGATTTTTGAGCCAAAGTAAATGAACGCTTGTGCTCCCACTGAAACATTGTACACATACACCACAACACAAAAACACAAACAATTTTAGACTCACATTGCAACTTCTTCTTCTTTGACAATATCAAAAAGAGATAGATCGAAATGAGTCTAAAAACCAAATAACAAGACACAAAATGAATAATTACAAATGGACACATGGGCTAAAAAACTAAAAAGGATATACAACATCAAAGATCGAATACAGAACACGAAGATATACATGCTTCATAAAAAATACTAATAGACATGCAATAACATACAATTAAGTGGTCAAAACTATCATAAATAGAAAGTTAAATAATGCATGAACAAATATATGAATGCTCAAATGCACATAATTAACAACACACATTTAACAAGATATTAAAAGCAAAATATAACAATAAAAAAAATGCTACAGATGAATAAGTGAAATTAAGAAGGTATAAGCCAACCAATGAACATATATAAGAACAAACATACACACAATAATATAAAACTGAATACAAGAGTTATAAAGACATATCAATGTAGTAGGTGAAACTATGATTTGCTACAAATTAGCGTTAATGAAAAGAAATATACATAGCAAAAGAAATTAAACAGAACTCTCGCTCGATTTAAAGCACGATGATTCTAAGATTTCCAACTCCTACAAATCTAGTGAAAATGTTATAATGACAATGGTTTTGTTAAAATATCAGCAAGCTGATTTTTAGTATCAACGTATTAAAAAATATCCCCTTTTCCAACATGATCTCTAAGAAAGTGGTGTCAGATCTCAATGTGTTTAGTTCGTGAATGGAGTACTGGATTCTTAGTGAAGCTTATCACACTAGTACTATCATACTTAATTGGAATGCAATCAAGTTTTAAATCATAATCTAGCAATTATTGATTTAGCCATAAGATTTATGCACAATTACTACCAGCTGCTACGTATTCAGCCTCGACGGTAGATAGAGCAACACTATGCTAATTTTTACTGTGCTAAGAAAATAAACAACTTCAAAATAAATGACATGTACCACTAGTTCTTTTCCTATCCGAATTACACCTAGCAAAAGCAGAATCAAGAAAAACCTACTAAGCTACATGTCTACCTTTAGGATACCAAATACCGTGTTCGGAAGTTTCATTAAGATACCCCATAATTCTTTTTATGATCTTAAAGTGAGATTTCTTAGGTGACGTCTGATATCTAAAACACATGCACACACTAAACATGATATCTTACCTACTCGTCGTTAAATAAAGTAAGGGTCAGATTATACCTTTATATATGGTTATGTTGAATTACACTCCATTCCCTTCTTTTTCAATTAGAAAATTTGAAGTCATGAGTATTGAGATACTCCTCGAATCTTTCATATCGAATTTATTGAAAAACTCTAAGAAGTATTTTGTTTGACTTATGAAAGTGCCTTATCCGATTTGCTTGATTTTCATTCCTAAGAAACACATGAGCTCTCCCATAAGATATATTTTTAAATTCACCCTAAATCAAACTTGTAAAACCTTGAGAAAGAGATTCGTTAGTAGGACCCAAAATAGTATCATCGACATATATTATAACTAAAGTGTATGCAACTTCTTATGCAAACAAAGTCTAATGCAAAAAATGTTTATTGCAAGGGGAATTTAATGGAAATAATGTAATACAACCAAAATTTTATTTTAATGCAAACAAAATAGTTTAAAGCATATAAAGCATATGACAATTAATTTGATGCATATGAAAAATAGATGAATGATTGTGATGCAAACAAAATAGTTTAAAGCAAATAAGATAAATAAAGTTCAACTACACAAAGATAAAGGAGAATGAAATGATCATACCAATTATGATGATTTAGCACTTAACTTGTTGAACAACTAAAGTTACAAAATAATAAAACTAATATATCAAAAGCATAATACGATAAAAAAATATGAGTAAATACATCTTCCTTGACTTGTTTTGAGAATCCATTAATATTCTCAGACACACCTCCATAAATCATCGATATATAGAATTAGGTACCCAATTTTAGTTGGATCCTTTGGGGTTAGTTGATGTACACTTATGTATCCATATCATTTTACCATTAGGAACCTGAACATTTCTAATATGACAAAGAGGCCTAATGTGTCCCTTATCACCACAATGATGACAAACACCTTTAGATGAAATTCTTTTTATATTTCTCCTAGCAACATGAGGGTTATTCTTTAAAATGGTCCCTCTATCACTTGAAGAACTAAAACTAGTAGCTAATAGTGAAATATCATGAGTTATTTTCCCTTTGATATTTTCAATTTCAAGTTTTAAAGTTGGACAAGTAACACACTCTACTTTATCTATCTTTTCAATTAAATTGTCAGAAACATTAAAATGCTCATCAACTAGAGATGTATGCGCTTCCTTAAGGGAATCAAAATCGCTATTAAATATAAGTATGTTCCTCTATTTTAGATCATATGAAGCCTTTTTTTGGTTTCATTATTTGTCCAATCCTTTGGGTGTTTAACAACATCATTGTTGCCCTTGGGGATAAAAGGCCCTTCAGTGGCTAATACCTATAATTCAACTGATATTAAATGTACATACATGTTATCTTTCTAATAAGAATAATTATCACCTTTAAAAATAGGTGCTTTATTATATGCTCCCTTTGGATCGTCATCGTCAACCATATTCCCATACTTTTGATCGCTTAGACCTGATCAAAAGACCACCTCTGAGGCCAATTGTTGGATAAGAATATGGAATAAAGGAACGATCTAAAGGGGGTGAATAGACCCTTATTAAAAATTCGACTGAATTTCCAAATATAAAATATCATAGGTTTTTCGAAATGCTCGGAAGTCTTAAAGGGAAAATAGAGATCTTATCCTTGTATTAAAAGTCAACCACGTTTACACATATGCAATTCACAAACCTCACAAAATTTTTAAATATAGTGATTAATTGAGTAACTATTGATTACACGAGATGTGTCATGTACAATGATTCAATTAGTACCAAATTCTAACGTCACTAGTTTCTAGATTTTAATCAGAACTAAAGCTCAATTAAGTACCAATTCTAACAAAACTTAACCTTACGTAATAAATCTCTACCAACCAAAATAAACTATAAAATACGCAAAGAGTTGATAACCTAAGCATGCAATATCCTACAAAAATTAAAATGAAATAGTGAGAGAGAGATAGATAGATAGATAGATAGTTAGATAGATAGATAGATAGATAGATAGATAGATAGATAGATAGATAGATAGATAGATAGATAGATAGATAGATAGATAGATAGAGAGAGAGAAAGATTATACCAGGATATATAATGGTTCAGCTCTATCGTCCGCGCAAGAGCCTACTCCATTTTTCAATGGTTTCAAATTGGAATTTGTTTTTATCCACTATGTTTTGACAAATATTCCAAGAGTTCATACAATCATCAATCCACAATAATACTGAGAAAAATAAATCTCCTATCTAGATCTTGAATTGTATACAACTTAATGCCAATATCTTCTACAAAATCTTTACTCGATTCTCGTTTCTTGAGTCTTCCAGCTTAATGCCAAACTCTTATGCAATTTTTTTACTTGATTCTCTCTTCTTCAATTTTCCAGCTTCATGAATTTGCTCACAGTCTTCATATGTGGCAATCACCCTTGATCCCACAAATTTCTGAGTGATTCACTGTCCGAAGATTTAGAAAAAATCCACCTTGTTTATAACCTTCCACACAGTCACTACCAAGGTCAACTGGAGATGAGACCCTCCTTTTTTTTAACTAAAAATTTTCAGTACCAGTCGCAACAACCACAATCTTGTAAGTTTCCTGAAGATCTTAACAAACTCTTCAAGAACAGTTAGTTTCAAGACATGTCTCTCTCAATAACTAAAAGTCTCCATAATCAAGATTTGAATCTAAAAAATAGTTTGAAGATGAAAGAAATTTTGTTTGCAAGAAATTTTGCACTTTCAATTATCAAGGTTGTTGATTCTCACACTCTGGAAAATGTTATTAGTTATGTCAGTTGTGTTTGGAATGATATGACAAAAAGAATTTATATGTGCTTGAGATTAAGAACAAAAATGGATGAAAAAGTTAGTTAGATTCGAGTTAAGAACAATTCATGATTTGAGTCAAATGAGCAAGTAGAGTGAAATAGGATCTCATAAAGAAAAGCTACCCATTTTCCTATGATTTGAGTCGGTTGTAAGTTTGATGAGTCTTAAAAGCTCATGATTTGAGTCATGTACAAAGCTTGATTCGAGTCAAATTTGACAGATCCGAACATGAAAAACATTGTCATTCAAGTTAGTTGAAAGTGTGACTCGAGTCAAACTGGGCAGTGGCTAACTAGAGGTGTG